AAATATATAGAGATATGGGGATAGAGAGATGGCTCAGTGCTTAAGAGCACTGGATGCTCTTCCAGAAGTCCTGAGTTCAATTCCCAGCAACCACTTGGTTTCTTATAGCCATCTATAAGTGGTTCTGATGCCCTGTTCTGGCATTCAGGTGTACATGCTGGGAGGACTCATATACATAAAATAAAAAACAAAAAAAAAAGACATAGATTACTAACGACAAAGGTCTTAATCTATTAATTCTTCTTTGTTTGCATTTTGTCTTGTGCTTTGCATTTTTCACCTTTTCCGATCCTAAGAAGTACCCTTATTTTAATCAAAGCTCTTATTATCTTAATAAGTAAGAGAAGTATGTAACTGACATATCTGGCTTACAGTGTTTCTGAATGAGGGCAGTATATCACTCTGAATAGAAACAAGCAGTATGAAAATATTTTTCTTAATTAATATTCTTTGTTTCCTAGTGCAGATCTTCAGCAAAGTACCCGAGTAAAGACATCAGAAATGCACTAAGGCTCCAATGTAAGAGTGTTTAGCTAACCTGCAAACCACAGACAAATGATTACAATGCAGAAGTAATCATATCACCCTTTTACACACAGCTTCTCCTTGATTAATCTTTACTCTGCCTCTCCTAAATACCTTTCCTAATTAGGTGCAGACATTTAAGACTTCCTGGTCTGCCTCTGCATGGACAGTTTAAGAAAACTCTTCTGAGAATGGTACAGTCAGACAAGACGCCCTCCCATAGACATCTTGATCATTCTCAGTATCTGTTTAGGTTCCTTACCTCAATCCCCAGACAGTGTCTCATCACACTGGCTGCCTTCAGAAGCAGAATTCTGTTAGGTCAATTTAAGCAGAAGCTGTCCCTCACCCTGGCTGTCTCCTCTTAGTGATTTCCCACACTCTCCTTCTGACTCCTTGACTAGAACTCCCATTTTTCTTACATTCAGTACCATACCCGACCTCTCTCGGTCGCAAATCCTCCTCTGGTAGCCCCCTCTGAAGAGTCAGTTATACTGTGACTATCTTTAACAAGTATTACAGCTATTTCAACAACTGTTTAGTCCTACTGTAAAAAAAAGGGAAGACAAATTTAAAGAAAGAAACCACTGTCGTATATTCACAAACAATATAACCTTCATCTGCTCCAGAAGCCATCAACTGATGTCTGCTTATAAAAGGCTCAGACGGAAAAGACAAAGTAATGAAGTAAACCAAGTAAAAGGAACACAAATATTTTTTCTACATTTTCTTCTAAAAAACATGGCAGGGGAACCATGTTCATTAAGACAGGACACAAATAAGCTATGTGATAAGCACTCCTGAGGACTGGTTCTCCAAAACCTTAAGTGATGGAATTTCTATTTCTTACCAGAAGATAGAGTGCCACCAACTGACAGCTTGGTGACTTCAGCTGACATGGAGTTAAGCACACACTTAACTCCCTCCAATATCAAAGCGAGCCATTAAAGTAAGTTTAACTTGTCTTACCCTTTCAAGTATTCTTAGATACTACGGTCCACTGTCCTCACAATTCCCACTAGGAAATGTTAGCCATAAAATATTAAAGCCATGGAATGTATAACCATGCAACCAACTTTAGAATCCAAAACACTTTCACCTGAAACTAATCAGCAAGAAGCAGTTGACAAGCACAGAAGCCAGGCCCACAACATGGCAGACAACCAGCAAGAACAGAAGGGAATGACACTCTTCTAAATTAATGAAAAGATTTTAAGAGATAGAGCTCACCTCCTGGCTCAAAGAAATGGTGTGTAAAGATATCTTTAAGAAGAACTGGAGAACAATCAGATAAGACAGGAATATTAAGTCTTTTTTTTTTTCACTTTCCTCAGATGTGACACATTAAAGAACACATTTGGATGGATGGATGGATGGATGGATGGATGGATGGATGGATGGATGGATGGACGGACGGACGGACGGACAGATGGACAGTGTTGCAGCCTATATTGGGCTGGGCCAGCTCTTCTGTGCTCACACCCTCAGTGCCAGCTCACCCATGTGTTTGCCATTAGGGACAGCTCCACTGTGCTGCCCAGGTAAGGTGCAGGGCTCCACTCTCCTAAGTGCTAAAAGCAGTGAGCCCCTGCTCTCCCGCCAAAATAGTAAGAGCAGCTGAAGCAGCAAAAGGCTGCAGTCTTCCCACACAGCTAGCAGCAATTAAACAGCTATCTGTACCTCACTCCTAAAGACCACATCCCATCCTAGCACCTACTTACTGCAGACACACACTCACGCACGTGCGCGCGCACACACACACGCACACACACGCACACACACGCACACACACGCACACACACACACACACTGGGGTTTCCAAGCTCAACTAATCCAGTTCACAATGAGAAGTGCTAATCGGTTTTTGCCTAGACATTTTTAGCTCTATGTAATCTAAAAATAACCTGTTTCCATGAAACTTTGCTTTATACTTTTTTTTGTTAATTTTTTGAAAACAAGGTTTTATTACCTGACTTACCTGGCTTGCACCTGGAAAAGATGTCAGTTTGGCCCCAAACTCACAGAGACCCACCTGCCTCTGCCTCTCAAGGGTGCTGAGATTAAAGGCATGTGCCACCATGCCCAGCTTAAATACTGTAATTTCTAAGACCAGGACTCTTCTTCCATTGTTTTGTTTTTTTTTTTTGGGGGGGGGGGGAAGGGACTGCTTTGTTTCTGCAGTGCTAGGAACTGAATCCAAACTCTTGTGCTCTTCCTAGGCAAGTAAGCACTCAACCACTGTACCATATACTCAGGCTGATTGTTCATTTAACAGTTATTAAGCACCATGTGCAGTTTTCTAGGCTACATAGCAGAACTGCAGCAATAAAAGGAGCACCTCAGTGATCTGAGAAAGCTAAGTGAACATTCAGCACAATGTGGTGAACGGTCCACCAAGTTTAGCATCAGATGCTAGGCAGACCTGTATTGCAGAAGACAGGGAAAGGAACTGAAACAACACTACAACAAAGCCAACCATAACACTGAAGAGACTGCTAGGCTAAAACAAATACCTGAGAACCAAATCAACAGATAAGAAGACTATACCTTTTGAGAGCCCAAGTAATTCATTTTTTTTTTTTTTTTGCTGAGTAATCATTAACAAAGGTTAGCTGTAACCAGAATGTTCTACATATCTGATGTTGAAAGATCATTTCTTTAATCCTGACTCCTAGAAATAGAGCAAACAACTGGGAGTGGTAGTGCAGCTTTTAACCTCAGCACTTGGGAGGCGGAGACAGGTGGTTCTCTGGGAATTTGAGGCCCTCCCTATCTACATAGTAAGGTCCACCAACCAGGGCTACATCAAGAAAGAAAAATCTGGGTAAGGCAGATGGCTCAGCAATTAAGCAAACACGTTCTTGAAGAGGATCAAGGTTCAATTTCCAGAACCCACATGGTGGTTCACAACCATCTGTTAACTATAGTTCAGGAGATTTGATGCTCAATTCTGACTTCCAAGGGCATCAGGAACACATATGGTGCACATACATATATGTAGGCAAAACATTTATACACAGACATTGAAAATAAACCTTTAAAAACAGTTTTAAAATAAAACAACAGAAATTAAGCTAACATGATAAAGAACAGCAAAGTAATCCCATGATTATCAAAAAGAATTTTCTTACTCAACGTTCTTAGATAAGACAGCAATATTTTTTAACTTTTTATCACATCCTGCACCCCAGTCCCACTCATCTCCTTGTCCCTTCATATATGCCCTTTGCCCTTGCAACCTCCCCCACTCCCCAAAATAAAACACACACACAGAAAACCATAGAAAACATCACATCGTGGAAGCTGTAGTATGTCACAGTGTGTCTCACAGTATATCTCCCTATCCACACGTCTTTCACTTGCAAAGGTAAGGTGCTAAAGGCAGTGAGGAGGCAGGACCAGCTCTCCCAGCTACTGCAAGTGATGAGGGGTGGACACAGCACCCCACACCCATGCCATCTCACAGCAGACAAGTGGCGGGGCCAGCTCTCCTGAGCTCTCCTTGGAACTGGCTAACCTGCTCCCCAACCACTAGGGTCAGTTCTACTGTGCTGTCCAGGCAAGATTCAGGGCCCACTCTCCGGAGTGCTGCAGCTGGTGAGGGGCAGAGCTAGTTCTCCAGAGTTCACAGACTCTGTAAACAGCTTTCCTGATTGCCAGAGGTGGGGACGAAGAGGGAGGAATCACCTCTGTGCCCATGCTGTCCAATAGCAGACAAGTGGTTAAAGCCATCTCTCCTTCACTCACACACTCAGGGCCAGCACACAAATACACAAATACACAAACACACACACACACACACACACACACACACACACACCGCCTTCAGGGCCAGCTCTACTGTGCTGCCTGGGCAAGGCACAGGGCCTGTGCTTTCCAAGTGCTCCCAGCAGTGAATGATTGGGCCAGCCCTTCAGAGAGGAGCATCCAGTAAGAGACAGGACCACTTCTGCACAGTCCCTAGACACTCAGGTGGTCCCAGTGGCTGCCCCAACCAGAGACATCCTCAAGTTCTCTAGTGGTAATATGAGCCATAGACATCAACACTGACCCCTGCTGCTTCATGTCAGATTCAGACATGGCCCTCAGTGACAGCTAGGGCAGAGGCTTGACTTCACCATGACCCAGGTGGCAGGACTGGCAATTCACAACAGGCTCCTCCTCTCCTCTCCAGAGTCTCCAGTTCCACCTCTCTTCGTTATGCTCAGGCTGTTCCACTTCTCTTCCTCTCCCATCTGTCCACCACATACTTGCACATTGTGGTGACTCCCAGGACAGGCTGGCCACACAGCTGGCAGGTCCCTGGGTGGCATCCTCCATCCATGCTGCTGTGTGGCATATCAGCAAGTAGATGTCTACGGCCTGCCTGTGCCATTCACTGGAGGGTAGGTCTGTGGGTGGCAGAGCAGTCCGCAGGTCTCTGTCCATTGTTCTCTTTCTGAGCTGCCTTTGATTTGACTGACTCAATTTGATTTTTATGAGTCCTAGGCATAAAACAGCTAGTGCCACCAAGTCATACATCAAGCTAGGATGAACAAAGGACTTCCATCTGCTCTGCCCTGACTGATATAAGAACAAGACCACCAACAAGGTGTCTCTTTGCCCATTGCTGGGAGTAAGTCAGTATATTTAAACCAATAAAGTTAAAAGTAAAGAAAATAAAGTGTAATTCTAGCTTACACTCTAGGTATGTAAGAATTACTATCTAGAGAGACAAGCGTGGTGGGACATGCATGTAATCCTACCACATAAACATACAGCACAGAATTGGAAAGTAGAGACAAGAACAGGAGTGCAAGGTCACCCTTAGCCATCTGAAGCCAGTCTGGGCTGTTTCAGAAGGGAAAGGGAAGACGAGGACCAAGTAAAAGCAGATGGGAAGGGGGGAAATGTGGGACTGCGTAAGGATATTCTGGTTCATGGCTGGGCACGGGCTTAGAACCCCAAGACTCTACGTGAGAACCGGCAGGCGTTTGGCTGTGCCCCCAGAACCCAGAGTCCTGATGCGGTCTCATCTCCATAGACATACATTGTTCAGTCACGTAGGCCATTACAGACCCTCCCAAAGTGCAAGGTAGAGGGCGTGACTAGAGGCCTCAGGCCCTAGGGATTTACATACTAATGAAGGCCAGAGGGTGGAGCAAATTAAGCATGCCTTTCCCCCATCCTCCCCCTTTCTCCCTCCCTATTTAACTCGGGACTGCCCTGAGTTTTAAGGGGGTACTTAAAGATCCATCTACCATCATCCATGACAATAAACCCTTTTGGAACCAAGGACTTGGTTTTGGACTGTCATTGGGGCCTGCCGTCGCCAAAGCCTCCAGGCCGCCAGAACCCTAGACCTCCTCATGTATGTGGGACCTGCCGCAGTGTGGAAGGCCTCAGGGACATCTCCACCACTGCAGCCTTATTTTTCCCACAGGAAAAGAAGAAGAAAAATGCCATGACCCAAGATTTGTAAGCTACACCCTCAAGAGTAAGGATCTCTAAAGACTGGCTCTGAAACCTCATCATCTATTACCTAGAGACTGAAAACTAATGTGCATTTGTTGTTGTTCCTTCTTCACTTTATTTTGTTGTTGTGTTGTCTAAAGTAGTCTACAACTCGTGGTCAAGGGACTCTTTGCCCTTAGTCAAAATGTAGCTGACATGAGATATATATATATATATCGCTGCATCTGTCAAAACCTGTGTTGAACATGAGAGATAGCACAAAAATACATATTTCTCTTCTCCCCATTTCCCTTAACTATCCTCAAACATGAGGCACTACACTGTCCACCAGGGACACCAAGTTAGCTAGCTTTTTGTGAAAAAAAAAAAAAAAACAGAAGCTTTACAAGGACTCTCTTCTAGAACTCTTTTCTCTGGCTCCCCTCATTAAACTGTCTATCTTCTGCGTACTGCCAACTCTTCAATTATTCCTCCCCTTGTACAGCTAGGTGTCTCCTTTAGAAATAAAGCATCTCACAGAGCTTAGAATTTGTCAGGCATTCTGGCTGTCGCTGTGCCAGAATATCCTTTATTTTAAAATAAAAAGGAGGAGGAAAGAAAGCATAGATACATGTGCATATACCTCTACACAGGAGCTTAAACATGAGGAAGAGTAACTGTCAGAAGAAAGAAAGCCTGGAAAAGGCTGCTTAAGACCACACAAAAAATGAAGAAGCAGAAGAAACCATCCAGACTTGCAGGGGAAAAACCAACCACTGGGAAAGCCTAATCGACAGAATACAGTAAGAAAAGGAAAGAGAACTGCACAAAACAAATAACATCCTAGAGATACCTTAGTTTTCTGAGTCCTATCATAAACTTTCTAATTTTGCACTTTTCATTACTACCAAATGTGAGCAAGAACACACACACACAAATATCTTCAAATTCAGCAGTTTTACATGGTACAGTCCAAAATGTCATCATAAGCAATATGAAATTGCTATTTTGAAAGGTCAAAAATAGCCAGACCTAAAGCCACACCAAGAAAAGTAGAGAAAGTAAGAGCTGGTAAAAGACTGCCATCCCTGATACAGTTTGGATGCAATGTGCTGAATGGGCTCGGATCTGTCAACATTCTAAACTGGCTGGGTGTGGCAGGTAACCCTGGCACTTGGGATATGGAAGCATGAAGATCAGTAATTCAGTCTTCCTCAGCTACATAGCAAGTTTGAGGTCAGCCTGGACCATAAGAAACCTTGTCTTAAAAAAAAATTAAAAACTGGGGGCTAGAGAGATGTCTCAGCAGTTATGAGCACTGACTGTTCTCCCAGAGGACCCAGGTTCAATTCCTAGCACCCACATAGCAGCTCACAGCTGCCTGTAATTTCAGTTCCAGGTATAAAATCTTCACACAAACATACGTACAGACAAAACACCGATGCACATAAAAAATATTTAAAATTTAAAAAAAAGATAAAAACTTGATTTATAGCTAGTGGTACTATTTTGTAAAGCTTTGGAACTGTGGCCATGCTAGCAAAACTAGTAGAGTGAAGACTAGTCTGAGTTCTAACCTTCCTGATCCACCAAGATTTGAAAAGCCTCTACCACATATGCCTGCCAACATCACCTCTGCCTTCCCTGCCATGATGGACTGAAACCAGGAGCCAAAATCAACTCCTCCCTTAAGTTGTTTCTGTTGAGCATCATCACTAGGACAAAGGTAACTAATATAATCTTTCAGTTGTATCTCTATTTTACACCCATCAACTATCTAAGCATGCCAATCCTACTTCCTAATTTCAATACTGAATCTTCTAATCGTCCCCCTTCCCATGGCTTTCCTGAAGAGATCTGTTATCACATCTCAGCTACACTGACAATCTCAAACCAATTTCTTTGCTTTCAAAGTGTTTCAGAACACAAGTATCCTCACTGACACCTAAATGAGCTTTCCATATATATCACTGCAGTTTAGACTGGAAAGATTTCAAAATCTTTCCAAAAATATTAATACAAGAAAAATGAGCCATTTTTATACAAGTATCATTATTTTCTTAACCAAATGGAATTATGTTAAATACTTACATCATAAAACAGCTTTCTGTCAGCAGCCAGGCGTTTAGACGCCAGAGTCTTGGTGACATGGTAGAAGGTAAGCAGTGCTCTGTGCTGTCGAAGATCATCTTGGACTTTAACAGACTCTACAAGAGTGGGAATGAGCTCAGGCCACTGTCTAGGACAGTCTAACCGAGCAACTTTTGCAATCAGCACTGCAATCTGGGTTGCAATCTAAAGAGAGAAGAAAGAAATCATGGGGAATAACTATGAAATCAAGGCAAAGGATAAATAATACACTCATGTTTTGACATTACCCCTCAGGAGTTAACTATGCTGAACAAATACTATTAAAACTACACTAAACTACTTAATGCAGTGGTCCTCAAAATGTAGTCCATAGACTCTAAGAGCTATCAAAATCTCTTTCTAATTACATATCAGTTAGACACTTCATCTTTTTTTTTAAGTCTTTCCTGGATTTTTTTGGTAGAGGCAGGGGACCTAACATGTAACTCAGAATGGCCTCAAACTCTCCACTCAGCTTTCTTTTTTTTTTTTTTTTTTTTTTAATTTTGTCACTGACCTGGTTTATTGGTTCATTAAAATTGGTGATGAGCCCTGCACGCAATGTTGACTTTTCCTCTTCTGAAAGAGCACTGTAAAAAAGTGAAATTATTATGCAAGAGAATGTCACCCAGAAGCAAGTAAGTCAAGCACTGCTATGAATTTTAACAATAAAACACCTTTAAATGCATGATTGTCTGCTTAGCTTTAAGTAGAATCATTGCCATTACTTAAATGTTGGCACATATCAAGCCTAAAGCTCCTTCACAAATGAATAAACAGAAAGTACAATAAGTAAGCTATAGAAGGCAAGATACATCCAGAGTAATGATGAAGTATGTCAATGTCCACCTTTATGGACGTAAAAACACTTGTCTACAAACAACAAGAGATACAGACTTCTGCTTTCTTTGACAACTCTTCTATAAATTTTACATGTAGGAACTGGAGAGATGATTAAAGCCCTGGCTGCTTTTCCACAGGACCAGGTTCAATTCCCACAACCCACACAATAGCTCCTAGGCATCTGTAATCCAGTTAGTTACATGAGGTCTGACACTTTCTGGCCTCTGTACGCACCAAGAGCATATGTGGTACACACATACAGGCAGGCAAAACACCCATATATATAAAATAAATAAAATTTTAAATTTACAAGTAGAGATTCCAAATCAAAGAATGGTTGTTAGAAAATTTTTAAGTGAATTTAAATAACTGCACAATACAGTCCTCTGACCTCCACAGGCAGGTCATGCATATATACCGACAACACTGTCCTCTGACCTCCACAGGCAGGTCATGCATATATACCAACAACACTGTCCTCTGACCTCCACAGGCGGGTCATGCATAAATACCAACAACACTGTCCTCTGACCTCCACAGGCAGGTCATGCATATGCACATCCACACATCAGGCATGTACACACACTAATAAATGAAATTTTAAGTAAAGTAGTTTTTAAAAAGCAAAGCATATATTACGAGCTAAATTATATCTCAAAATTAAATATTTAAGTCCTATCCCAAGTATCTTTGAGCACAAATTTATTTGGAAATATTACAGTTCTTTGTAGATTAAATCACATTTAGACAAAAATCATTCTTCGTTGATGGGCTCTATTCTAATACTGGAATTTTTCCTTTTGGTTGCTTTGTTTTGTTTTGACACAGGGTCATGATATACAGGATAGGCTGACCTGAAACTTGCTATGAAGCCCAGAAGGCCTTGAACATAAATCCATGTCAATCTCCCAAGTGCTAGGATTACAAGCCTGCACCTCTATGCCGGGCCTGGTGCCCTTCTAAGAAGAAAATGTAAACAGAGAAACAGATAACTTGGCATAGATCATGTGACAATAGGGGCAAAGATTAGAATCATTCAATCACATGCCAAGAAACACCTAATACTGCTGGCCACAACCAGAAACAATCAAAGACTAATCCTATGGACCCTCAAAGGGTACAAACTTTTTGCTTTTGGATTTTTAGCTATCTAATCTGTAAGAGAATAAACCTGGGTTATCTGTAAGCATTCCGTTTGTGGCATGGCAGCCA